CACAGATGGGTGGCAAATTGGCTTGATGGTCGCCCCCAGAGAATGGTGGTGGACAGGTCGTTTTTGACCTGTAGGGATGTGGGCAGTGGAGTTCCCCAGGGCTCGGTCCTCAGGCCTGTGCTATTTAACATCTTTATCAGCGATTTGGAGGTGGGCGTGGAAAGCACCCTGTCCAAATTTGCTGATGAGAAAAAGGTGTTGGAAGAAGTGGGCACACTGGAGGGGAGGGTCAGAATCCAGCTAGATCTAGGCGGGTTACAGAGCTGGGAGGATGAGAATAGGATGGAATTCAATGCAGACGAGTGCAAGGTGCTGCATTTAGGGAGAAGGAACTTGCAACATACCTATAGGCTGGGGAACACCCTTCTCAACAACACAGTGGCAGAAAGGGATCTTGGAGTCATTATTAACTTGAGCCACCAATGCGAGGAAGCAGTCAGTAAGGCTTACTGCACCTTGTCATGCATCTACAGATGCATCACAAGCAGGTCCAGGGAGGTGATCCTTCCCCTCTGTGGTGCTGGTCAGGCTGCATTTGGAGTACTGTGTCCAGTTCTGGGCACTGCACTTCAAGAGGGCTGTGGTTAACCTTGAGAGGGTCCAGAGGAGGGCCACTTGCATGGTCAGGGGCCAGCAGGCGATGCCCTACAAAAATAGACTAAAGGGCCTGAATCTATTCAGCCTACACAAGAGAATAGGATGGAAGACTGAGAGGGGATCTGGTGGCTGTCTATTAACTCACCAGGGGAAACCAACAGAAAATAGGTGAGGCTCTGTTCCTCTGGGCACCACCTGGGATAACAAGGAATAATGGCCATAAATTGATTGAGAGCAGGTTCAAGCTTGATATCAGGAGGCATTAATTTATGGTTAAGGCTGCCAGGCTCTGGAATGGGCTCCCAAGGGAGGTGGTGCTCTTCCCTACCTTGGAGATCTTCAAGAGGAGGTTGGATAGATATCTGGCTAGGGTATTATGATTCCAGCACTCATTCCTGCCCAGGGCAGGGGGTCGGACGTGATGATCTGTTCAGGTCCCTTCCGACCCTAGAAACTATGAATTCAATCTTTGCAGGTTAGCCTAAGATGTGTAGATTGAACCAATAAGCAGATGAATAGACATTCACTTTTGATTCTGGCTCTGCAGCCCCATGCCTGCAGTGGCGCAGGCCAGAAGCTGAGAGGCACTATAGCATGCCTCCCTACTTGGCCAGAGCAGACAGCTTGGGCCAAGGCTTATCCTGTCCACCACGAGAGTGTGGGGTTTGTTGGGGAGGCGCAAAGCATCCTGGGATACTGGGGGACTGTGATTTAACTGATTTAGGTTTCAATCAGTTTATTGAACTTGTCCCAGATCCCCTCTAGATTCAAGTCAAGTCTGATACTACATCCATCCAGGTGTATCTTAAACTGCTTTCAAAATGGCTGAAACCAGTTTATGTGGACTGTACTTCTGTTGTGTTACAGATTTGAACCAGTTTCCAATCGCTTATACCAATTTATAAGTACTGTCCCTAGCTTCTATATTCATATGCTTATTAAAATACCACTACACCAGTCTTCAAAAGTCAGAATTTGTTTTATTTAGTCATTGAGCTGTTCTTTTATTCAGCTTTTTGTGTTTTTTGTTAGCAGCTTATGGTGAAATCCATATATTTATTGGGTTTTTGATTCAAGTTGGGTATGTCACATGGCGTACTGTCATTCAGTATGTTCCATCCCCGGCCACATTGTCAGCACTGCTCACTTTCTAGCACAGAGTATTTGGGTTATTTGCCACTAAAAGTTGAAGGTAATGGAGTCTGGGGACACAGGAATGCAAAAGCCATACATTAGGGAGCAGTTTATGCTACTTGTTGAAGCATTAACTTCCTTTCCACAGTTCTAGCTTCTTGACTAGTAGAGCCCAGTGTACTAATGGCATCAGTACATCTTGGTTGATCAAGTTTCCAGTACTGATAGAAGGAGGATAATGTTGGATAACTTCCCATAATACGTCTGACTTTGCATGCATGCTTTTCTGGTTTCATGTAAGGCAGTCCAAGGCAGCTCCTCAGAAAGGAGTGAAAAATAGCATGTAAGTGCAAAACAATATAAATAAGAAGGATCTGGAGATGAGAAAAAAGAAATGACCACAAATATGCTGGGGCACAGCATGGAGCAAGAATATAGATATATTATTTTTTAACTTTTTTTTTTTCCATTTTTTAAAACAATCCTTAAAGAGGATGTGAGTATGAGTGGTCATCCATCACAGGAATATACAGGAGGCTCCAAAGAAAAGAAAATGTAAACTTTGGATTTAAAGACATTAGTTCAAGACCTAAGACCACTGTCAAGTGAGTTTTCCAAGTCAGATCTTACTTTGCTAACAATGAAAACTTTTCTGTCAGAAAACTGTCTTTTGGTAAATTCAGTTCCCATCATTGCAGATGTAATAGCTGAAAATTTCAACTAAGAAAAACATACACTTGGCTGGCTTTTCTCTTTGGCAGCATTCACTATAAAATGGCAAATAAATCTGTTAGGTAATATAACACCTGGCAATCTTTATACCCAAGAGAGAATTACAATAAGAATTCAGTGAAGAAATGCTGACACTTTGGAGAAGAAAGAACCAAGGAAATGTGGCTCAGTCTTTAAATTCAGGAAAGTGTTCCTTCTTTGTCAATCCAATAGCTCACAAATTTGGAGCTAAATAATAAGTTGGTACAAAGTGAATACTTTTCAAACTGTTTTTCAGAGTATTATAGCTGCTGCTGATGCAGTCAGAAATTAAACTTATTTTTTATAGCTTATCTTGTAACTTACTTGAATGTGGTGGTTAGGGGAACTAAATGCTGGTTATTTTCATAAACTCTTGACCAAATATATAACCAAAATGATAAGATTCTTTGTGAACTCAAAAAAGTTTGTATAACACATTTAAGTCAGGCATAATGCAAACTGCTTCAAAAACCTTCACCAATGCATCTCACTCCTAGACTGCTATAAAATCATAACGTAGGTAGGTTTAAACTGATATGAACGGCTTTAGTTTTGGTGGTAATATCCTGCTGCATTTGGTTTGGGGCAGCAGTCTACATTGATTAAAAATAGATGTTTGCTGAGAAAAAGAATAAAAGTTAGTGTGGGCATGTCTACATATGCAATTAATGTGAAGCAATAAACTCAGAGCTTATTGCCCCCAGGCATGTCATTTGAATGTGCACCCGGGATCACAGCATGTTGAGCCAGGTCAGGGCAGCCCCGGCTGGCAGGGGACCCTGGGAGTCAGCCTGCCAGTGCAGAGCTGCTCTGCCCCAGCTCAGAATGTGGAGTGTTCCAGTTCAGGGCTAGCCGTTAGGCAGCTCCTGCACGAAAGCACGCTTGTGCCCCAGCCAGCTGGGGCAGCATCTACACGTACTCTGCTGTGGAGTTGAAAGCAAGTACAAATACAAGAAATACAAGTACTATCCTGCTGCAGAGTTAATTAGTTTACTCCAGCCTAATAGAGGCACACATATAGATGCACGATGTTTACTGCAGAGCTAATTAGTCTACTCTGCAGTGTCTTCTGTAGGCGCACCCTGTTTTCTCTTTAGCACAGGTTGTTCCAAATTAGAGAAGGGAATCCTTGGTGAGACTAGATGATCTCTTGAGGTACCTTCCAGCCTTACTAATCTATGAATTTCTTTATGAATAACAAATATTTTGCCAACTTTGGGTTTGAGTCATAGATTGCTTCAATTTTTTATGTTTTTAGTTCCTGGTCTTGATAGACCTTGATATACAATAACAAATTTCTATTAGGAAAATGAAATGTGATTCTGTATAATAGTGCTGCTTTTTATGAGGTTCTTTGATTTTTAGGGACAAATCTGAACAGTCCAGTTTTTTGCACTTAGTTAAGTCACTTAAACTTTTTTATCCTACTATAATCGCATAATGCAAATGCTAGGTTTTAATCACAGGTTTTCGAAGAAGAGTTGCTCTATACTGTGCTAAAATTAAGTTATCAAAGCTACTTCTTGATGCACTGAATGAGCCATTATTAACAATATAACTTCTGTCTACCAGTAAAACTTGATTTGATTATAATTGTTTTTTACAGTTCAGTAAATGTGAATGATCTTTTTTTTACAATTTTTTTGAATGACAAGTCCCTCTGCTGAAGATTTTAAAATCAAATAGGATGCTTTTTGTTTTTATTTTGCACTTCATGAGAAGTTGCAGTTGAAGACATTTCATAGTCACAATTCAAATGACTTCTGACTCTCAAAGCTGGTTAAAATCAGTAAAATAACAGTTTTGCAACAACTAAACTGTTCTTTTCCATGTGTTTTGAACTTCGGGAAGTTCACATGCTTCAGAATTGGCAGAATGCCTCCCAGATAGGAAGGTTTTCCCGACATGGAAGTTCAGGGTGCATTTGCAAGTATATATCTATACCTCTGACTTTAAAAAAATGAGGCACAAATGTTATGTATAAAATAACAGTAGAAGTGCATGTTAGGGAAAATAGTGCAAGTGCTGTCACTGACATTTAAAGCTCAACTGGATCAATAAGAATATACAGAAATAGGCATCGTTGGACTCTGACAGACATGGGAGGAAAAAAACAAAACTGCTTTACCGGAAGAGGCATTGCATCAATTTGACCCAGGTCACCCAATGTCTGTATAGGTCACGTGTTTCGGTGTGGCTTTTTGGTGCTTTTATCTAATAGCTGATTAAATCAGATTAGATAAACTGCCAAAAAGCCCCACTGAAGTGTGCAAGCTATACAGACGCTGGGGAGCCGAGCCAAACTGTCATGATGCCTCTTCAGGGCATGTGCTGTGCACAGTGTGAGGGCCTGCCAAGCTGAAAGTAAGGCACTGTTTTGATTTGGGGTGGGGGGGTTGTTTTTGTTCCCCCATGTCTGTCTCAGGCTGGCCTGGAGGTTTGGTTTCTTTTCTAATTTTGTGATTAGAATTTTTTGACCCTTTTTACTTAATGACAATTTCTCTGGTCATTTTTAGGCAATCCGAAGTTTTCAGGTGGCCTTGCACATCTATCCAATGAATCCTGAAGTGTGGAAAGAGGACCTTTCCTGGGCCAGAAAGCTCCGTGAGCAACAGAAGAAAGCAGCAAACCCTGAAGCAACACAAGCAATGGCAAAAGAAAAGGCTGCTACACAAGAATCTATCCCAGATTATGACTTTGAAAGTGATGAGATTGTGGCGGTTTGTGCTGCCATAGCTGAGAAGGAAAAACCCATGTCTGAAACTAAAACAGTGGTCATCGTGTCTGCTTCAGGCACAGTGGAGACTATAACTGAAGAAGAGAAATGCGCTACAGCCCTTGATGATAACATTTTTATCAAAGCCCGATAGTGTAGCATAACTTTTTGCCAGTATTGCTTTGAAATGTAATGTTATTTATCAAGCGTTTGAATGTCTTTTTTTTTAGCAGCAGAGCAGACTTGTAAAACAGAAAAGACAGGAGGTGCTAAAGCAGTTTTTTCAGAGAAAAAGTATTTTTATGTAGATATGAAAAAAAGCAACCAATAAGCAAAGATCCAGTTTCTCATTCCCTCCATACTTCTGGAGAAGGAAGTTAGTTGTTGATATTAAAACTCTTTTTTTAAAGATTGCATTAAAATAATTTGAAACTACTAACTACATTATATCAACTCTGAGTTTATCCAACTTTGTTGCATAATTGCCGTGTATAAATTGTCTGTTTTTTTTACCTGTGCTTATTTATCTGTTACTTAAAAAGAAACCACAAAGGGAAATTTAATGAAAATGTTACTTCGCAATCCTTAATTATTAATATTAATTAGCAGTCAGTTCAATAATGAATTTTATTTGGCGAAGTCTTTATTTTCATTAGTGTAGGGATTTCATGAAAAAGCTACAGATGATTGTGGATAGTCTTTGTTAACCCTGAGATTTCATTTCAAGTCCTATGGGGTCAAGGGAATGTTTCATATTGTGTTTCAAGGGGCTTGAAACCAGTGTGTATCATATGAGTTGTACTAAGTCACACTATGTTCAGACACTTTTAAACATTAACCTAAATCTACTGAAGAAAGGATGCACAAATACAAATGAAATTCACCTTCTGTTGACTTGTCCATTACTACTGATACTTGACTTTTGCATTATATACAGCATAGTAAAATATTGGGAGCACAATGAGGAAAGTATTATGAATGTGACACTGAGATGAACTATGAGATTCTTTACTTTTAATTTTTCTTAATGCGAGACTAAGACTTTCTTTGTTGAGTTTTTGGTGCTATTAGGAGTGCACCGATAAAGATTTTTTTGGCTGATACTGATGGCCAGTTATTAGCCAGCCATATCAGCCAATTACCACTCTGGTTGCTGATATGCAGCCTGGCACCTTGAAAAGTAGCATCCAACCAGTAAGTCTGTGGGGGGAAGGGGTATGGGGGAAGGAAGGGACATGGGGCAGGGGGGGAGCAGATCGAGGGCCCCCGTGGTGAAGGAGAGAGCATGCCAGGGGTAGGCAGTGGTGGGGCAGGGCATGGGGTAGAGCTGTGGGCAGCTTGTCTGGGGACAGCCCCCGGCTGCTGTGCATATCCCTGTGGGAGACATGTGCCCCCTAGACTTGTGCATGGGCTTCCTGCTGCAGGCTTGGGGCCAGGGGCTTCATTGGTCTCTTCCCAGTGGGGTGCTAAGTTACATCTGCACTCGGGGAAGACAGGGGACAGGTTGGGCGGTGCTGGGAGAGTAGCTATGTGGTGGACTATGGCCACCCCAAAATTTGCTACAGAGCCCCCATAGTACCCTTCCTAGTGCTGCCGCTAACCACTGCCTACACTGCCCACCTAACTACCACCTACCCCGAGTGCAGCCCTGGCCCAGCACTCCCACTGGAGCCTCTGGCCTCACGTCCACAGCAAGCAGCCCGTACTCGCCCCATGCACAAATCCAGGTGGCACATGCCCTCAGTGCCTCTCCTGGGGGTGTGCACAGCAGTGGGGGATGCACCCTCCCCTGAACAAGCCACCCATAGCTCTCTCCTGTGCTCTGTCTCAACCTGCCCCAAGTGGGCAACACCTGCCCCAGCCCCGCTTTCTTCTGCACCGCAGGGGCTCTTATCTCCAACCCCTCCCCCCACAGACTTACTAGCCAGGCGCTGCTCGCCAAACTGCCAGGCTGCATTCCTGGCTGTGCACGTGCATTGGTGACATTATCGGCCAAAAAAAGCCAATTGCTGATAATGTCAATTTTCCTTTTATCAGTGCAAATACGATGTGGACCGATAAATAGATGCACCTCTAAATCGGGGTGGACAAAATATGGCCTGTGGGCCGGATTCAGCCCACAAGGCCATTCTATCCAGCCCATGGGGCCCCTAAAAAATATAGAAAATTAATATTTATCTGCCCTTGGTTCCTGTCAAAAATGACAGGAATCAAGGGCAGTAGGACCCAGGGGAAGCCCCGGCAGGCTCCTGCAACAGCAGGGCCTGTCTGGCCCCACCCCCCTAACCCCAGCTGGGGCTTCTGGTGGCCTGCGACCACATGGCTGCCTCAGTGCTGGAACCGCAGGTAAGGGGGAAGGGCAGGGGACGACCCTGGGCTGGGAAGGAGCCTAGGGAAAAGTGGCCCCGTTCCCACCCCCTGCCTGAAACCCCATGTTACAGCCACTCGCAGCATGCCTGGGGCTGCCTGTGCCTGCTCCGGACAGCCCTGTGAAGGCTGAGTAGCTTCAGTGCGGGGTGTCGGGCACGGGGTGAGGGAGGGGCCGCTTCCCTCTGCCCCCCACGCTCAGCTTTTCCCCGGGCTCCTTCCTTGCTCCTTCCTGGCATGAAGTTATCAGCCCCTCCCCTGCCCCATAGTCAGTGCTCCCTGCTGCAGCCAGTGCGGGGCTGTCCAGAGCAGGCGCAGGCAGCCCCAGGCGGGCTGCAAGCGGCTGCAGCATGGGGCCACTTCCCCATCCCCCCACTCAGGACGAGCTTGTAACCTGGCCCCCTGCCAGCCTGGGCCCCACTCCAGCTCTGGGCTCGCCCATCAGGGCCACGCCGCAGCAGCTGCAGTCCCCGCTCATGCCGCACTGTGCTGTTTGCCACCACTGCCTTTAGGCTCCCCAGCGCGCAAGCTCCAGGCGGACAGCAGCAGCAAACACTGCTTGGCGTGGCGGGCAGGGGGGCTGCAGCTGCTACCACAGCACAGTCTCAACAGGTGAGCCCAGAGCCGGCGTGGAGCCCAGGCTGGCAGCAGCGGTGGGTTTCAAGCTGCTGCTGAGCGTGGCGGGGGGGGGAAGTGGCCCCTCACTCACCCTATGGCTGGTGACCTGCCTTGCAGCCTGCATGGGGCTGCCTGTGCCTGCTCCAGACAGCCCCATGTGGGCTGCAAACACCTGTAGCAGGGAGTGCTGGCCATGGGGCGGGCGAGGGGCTGCTTTTCCCCACTCTGCCCCCCGCCAGTACCGTGGGGTTGGGGGGCACTGGGAGTGAGCAGGTGCAGGCGCCAGTGGGAGCATGGGGCCTGCACCGGTGTGACAGGGCCAGTACTGGCGGGGCCCAGAGCAGGGTGGCAGGAACGCGGGTCCCAGCCAGCAGGGGCTCTGTGGAGCCAGGCCAGCTTCCCCCTGTCCCTACTGGTACAGCCCAGCCCAGCTCCACAGACCCCTGCCAGCCTGTGCCCTGCTTTGGGCCACATTGGTGCTGGCCCTGGGACATTGGTCCCAAGATGGTGACCAGGGGGCAGGGCACCTGTCGAGGGGTGGGGCTACCCATGCGGCCCTCGACAGCTTGCCAAGACTGGGTAAGCAGCCCTCTGCCTGAAATAATTGCCTGCCCCTGCTCTAAATTATATGTCCTTTGCCCCAAGAAAAGATGATTGTTTTGTAGTTAGTGGGGTGTTATTCAGGATAGCATTGAGTGGCCCTATCTTTTGATTTCTAGTTGAGATTGTCACCAACTTCAGTAGGGGCAGAATTTTGAGCAGCCCCTAAAGAGGGGGAAAAAACAACAAAGCTTCCATTCACTGAAGCTGACTTGGATATCTGTGTTATATACAGTTGCAGTCAGGTGGCTAATTGTTCAACTAGAGGCTACTTTTAGGAACTTGGTCTACCACACAGTTCCCAAAGAATCCAGTACAGTTATCATACTGACCTTGTGTTAGAATACAGCTTTGCAGAGCAAACTTAAAAAAAAAAAATTAATCTGATTTAGAGCCAGATAAAGTTTTTCAAAACTCACTGTCACATCTGTCATTTTATATTTTTGTCTGTGTTTTTAAATGTGTACTTCTAAAAGCATTTTGCAGTACCTAACATACAATGGAAAGATTCATTGACTCAATTTATGGTTGAGCCCCCTTAGTGCCTCAGAGGATATTTTATAATCTACAAAAACTACTAGTCTCTCCACTCCTTTCAAAGATAATAGCAAATGCTGTTATTTGGTGTCGGTCTTTACTAAATTTTCATTATTTTTTAGATGATAAACTGCTTCATATTTTTCATTGTCTTTTAAATATTGGAATTATAATGAAACTGAGTTGCTACAATAAATTTTAAAAGTACATCTCGTCCTGCAAAAATCAAAAGTCTTCATTGTCATTCAATCATTAATTCAGAAATGTTATTAATTCACAATGTACCTTCTGCTTATTGGGAAGGTTCTAATGTACACAGTAGTCTAGGAGTGAGGAGTATAATCTTTCCCTTCTCTGATTGGAAAACAGATAAATCTATTTGTAATTTGAAAAATAAATCTTCTCCAGGCCTCATAAGCATATGTTTCTGCCCAGGCAGCATTTTGGTAGCCACCTTCTGAACCTCTCAGATTTTATAATAGAACTACTAGCATATCTGCTTTAACTGAAAGCTTGTTCTGGGAGTAAACTTTTAAAATCTTACTGATGGGTTGTATTAGATTCAGATTCGGCCTTAATTGGGGACAGTGATTTGATTAATTGATTTTTGAATTACTGTCCCTGATTTGATTCGGCCGAATCCGAATCTGAAGATTCGATGCTGATTCAGAGAATCAGCAGTTTGGCCATAGACACAGCTTTAAATGTTTTTTCTACGTACCTCAAGGTACCAGGCGTGGCTCGTGAATGCTGCAATGTTCTGGTGGATGGAGCATCCCACAGTATTGGGGGGGGGGCCCATGTGCTCCCTGGCAGACCTGGAAGTGGGTCCCTGCCAGTGCTTCTGGTCCGCTTCCAGCTCCTGTGGGCTGCTCCATCCGCCCCAGCAATACAGCATTGATGAGCCGGCTGGTACCTTGAGGTACATAGAAAAAACATTTAAAGCTATGTCCGAATTTTTCCAAATCTCTCCAAATTGATTCAGAGGATTCTGATTAGATTCAGAGAGATTAGAGGGTCTCCTGACTCAATTTGGATTTGGTGATTCGGCCACTGAATCGGGCCAAATCTCTGCCGAATCAAATCAGGGACCAAAGCTTCGCACAGCCCTACTATAAAGGGGAATATCTGTGAAATCCACATACGCTTGAACATTTGGAAAGTATTTCCTCAAGGCTGTATAAGTAGCAATAGGAACAAACTTCAAAAGTTTCCAGTTCTGAAGGTTCTAAAATTATTTTGTATTTAATATTTGCACTGGTTCGGTCCTGCAGGGAGCAAACCAGGAAAGCCAAGGCTGCAACTGAACTCCAAATAGCTTCGAGCATCAAGGACAATAAAAAGTCCTTTTTTCAGATACGTGGGGAGCCGGAGGAAAAGCAAGGGCAACATTGGACCCCTGCTGAACCAGATGGGACAACTGACGCCCAGGAAAAAGCAACCTATTACATGGGTACTTTGCGTTGCCATG